GTGAACTTTTAAATCGATTTCTATAAATCAAGAAAATAGGATCCTATTAAAACCAGACAATTAATTTGGCAACGCCGCGCGTGATAATTGACCGCACATACGTCACGACTTGACTGGCACTTCCACTCCAGCAACAACAGGAGTAACGGGACCATTCCGTTCTCGGCGTTTTTGATCAATTTAACCTTCTTTTGTTATCAATTCAACCCTAAATATTATGTAAAAGTTTCAATATACAAGTAAAATACAGTCCACAGTCTTTATTTATCGAACCAGCCAGTACATTGGTCCATTCGCGCCGCATCAAGTAAAATTAATTAGTGGTTGAGGTGCAACGACAGTGGGACCGCCATTATGGAGTAAAGAAGGACATTTCGACATGAACTAAGGCCTACGCTTCTGTGCGACGTCCGCTGAGCGAGTTCCTTTTATTTTCCTTTTTTTAATTTCCTGACAAGTATTGACTGACACGTCATTTTTTGGTAATTTAGACTCTACAATTAATTATGGCAGAGTCATTGGCAGTTTTGAAGCATAAAAGAGCCAGTATTCGTTCTAATTTGACAAGATTTAGAACATTTTTTGACAGTTTAACGCTCGACAACTTAACGACAGTAAAATATAATGAACTTAAGACTAGATTGTTCAAATTTGAACCAGGCTATGATGAATTTACTCAGGTGCAGTTGGATATTGCTTGCGCCTTGGAAAATTCGACTCTTACAGCTGAACAAATGGAAGTGAGCTGGATGAGAAAACTTATTTTGATGATTATTTTAATTTAAGAGCTGCGGCTCAGACAGCGCTTGACAGTTATGAGGATTAGAATAATGACAGAGGTTCACTTTCTAATAGAAATGTAAATCAAAATGTAGGCCAAGGTCACAATAATAGTCAGTTATTTCCACAATCAAAACTACCTTTGCTTAGTATTCCTACATTTGAAGGTAAAATCGAAAAATGGATGGAATTTAAAGACGCGTTTTTAGCTATTGTAGATACCAACTTCAATTTACCACCAGTTCAGAAATTTCAATATTTAAAGTCGGCACTCAAGGGCGAAGCGAAGAACTCGTTGCTTCAATTGAAATAACCAGTTCCAATTTTGATGTTGCTTGGTCACTTTTGGAAGAACGCTATGAGAATAATAGGTTGATTATTGACACGTATATACAAGGTCTTTTAGATGCACCGGTATTGACAAAGGAATCTCATGTAGAATTACGTAGATTATTTGATAATTTTTCTAGAAACATAAGGTCATTGAAAGCTCTTAAACAGCCCACTGACAGTTGGGATACACTTTTAATAGCCATTATTGTCAATAAATTCGATAGTCAAACAAGAAGGGAGTGGGAAGCCTATGAAATCGCTGGAGACTTTCCTGTTTGGTCTGAGTTAAATACATTTTTGAAGGCTAAATGTTCTTTATTAGAAAAGTTAGAAATGACTAAAACTAAAATTGTACCTAAGCAACCTGCTAATAAATTTGACAATAAAGACATTAAACAAAATAGATATCGAGGTACGTTTACGACTGTTATACAGTCTAGAAAAATTTCTTGTTATTTTTGTAGAGGCGAGCATTCCATTTTTGAGTGCGATAAGTTTAAAAATTTATCAGTTGGCGAGAGAAGTACAGAAGTCCGTAAACTTAAATTATGTATCAATTGTTTTAATCCAAACCACACTGTTCAAGATTGCATTAAAACATCCTGCAGAATTTGTAATTTTAAACACAATTCTATGTTACACCGTGACAGAAACTCTACGAACGGTTCGCAGCATAATAGGTCTGTCGATAGGGTCGAAAATCGCGAAAATAATAATTCGGCATCACCGGTGACGGCACTGACTTCCGCGATCAATAGGCAGAGCGGTGGTGGTGGCACGGGTGGCATCCCAGACAGAGGCAGTGAGAGTGGAATTTCTACTTATTCGACAGAGACAATAGTTGAAAATAATATTAGTTCTTTTACAGTGTTTTTTAGTGGACTGTATTCTTGAGATGAATGTTTGGTTGTAATGGGAAAAGAAGCACAGCACGAATGAACTTCTAATAAAAGCCCGGTACTCGGTTTTTCTTAGAATATCTTTAATGCACACACTCGAACTTATTTACAGTTTATGGATTTTTAGAAGCTAATATGCCGCTACACATACACAAAACTACACAAAACACAGGTAATGTTACAATGTACTCGTTCATTAGAGTAGGTACCAACTTCAGTACAGGAAAAGAATAGCCCATAATTGACTGCCAAGATAGAGATAAAGATTACTCTTTTTGTAAATCTCGAGAAAGAACACTAATTTCAGAGAATTATTACTAACTTTTAGTTAAGAACAGACTAGGAAGGAACATCACTTGCAATTTTGTAAAAAACGTGCTTTCCGTGAACTATTTTTATTTATTATTAACAACTCGAGAGTCGAGAGAGAAAAACTAGAGAACGGAATTAAATTTTCCGGGCGGCGTGACTCCTTTTCTACGAGAGTCTATCAAGTACTGACTAGGCGAGGTGATACCCGTATGTAGTTCAAGGCCAACAACTTCGGGCAACCCCTTTTTTTGGACGGTTCCATTTTAAAAATAGCACACTTGCAGCGAAGAGTGAATTGACAATTATGAATAAGGCAATAAATTTATTAAATAGATTTGAAACTCGAACATTCTCCCCCGCGTTGAAGCTTCAGCTTCGAAGCTTCAACAGAAAAAAAAGGAGGGGAACAACAAAGGAGAGAGAATGATGAGGAACTGTCTTTTTGAGACTTAATCTCCCATGGGAGATTGATTTGGTAATGGACTCAATTTAGTTATTGGTCTGGTAAAGATACCAGTAGAAGTTCGAATTTTTGCAACTCGTACTTTGCCATCTTTACCTTTGATAGGCTCTAAGACCCTGGCTAGAGGCCACTTGAGAGGAGGCATGTCATCTTCTTTGATTAGAACCAAATCGTTTTCTTTCAGGTTTTCTTTCTCCCTGAACCATTTAGGTCTATTTTGCAGACGATTGAGATATTCTACAGACCATCTTTTCCAAAAGGTTTGTTGGATCTGTGAAACTCTCTGGAACACAGAAAGCCTATTTTCGGGAAGATGTGAGACATCTCTCTCTGGGTATGCTGTTATTGCAGAACCAATCAGGAAGTGACCAGGCGTTAAACTGCTCATGTCCATTGGATCACTGGAAAGAGGGCTCAAAGGTCTGGAGTTCATGATTGCCTCAATCTGGCATAATATCGTTGAAAACTCCTCAAAAGTGAAATTACTGTTGCCAATTAATCTTTTCATATGGTATTTCGCACTTTTGATTGCTGCTTCCCAGAGGCCTCCCCAATGAGGAGATCTGGGGGGGATGAACCGCCAGGAAGTTTCGTTTTGAGAAAGGAAATCAGAGATGGAGTCTAAATTTGTTTTAGTTTTGAAAAAATCGTGAATTTCCCTCAACTGATTTTTTGCACCTGTGAAATTAGTCGCATTGTCACTAAAAATTATCTTTGGGTTTCCGCGTCGCGAGATAAATCTTTTCAGAGTCAAAATAAATGATTCAGTTGAGAGAGAACTCACCAACTCGATGTGTACAGCTTTCGTAGCCATACACACGAACAGCGCAATGTAAACTTTTACTTGTGGGGCTTTTCTTAGGCGCGAAGACTTTATTAAAAAAGGTCCTCCAAAGTCGACACCTACTTTGTGAAATGGTTTGGAAACATTAACCCTGTCATCTGGTAAATTAGCCATGATTTGCTCAGAGACTTGATTGTTGAATCTAAAACACGTGATACATTTTGCTATAATCTTTTTTATGTCTCGTAAGCCATTTAACGGCCAATATCTCAGACGAGTATTGCCTAGAGTAGTTTGGGCTCCAGCGTGGCCTAAGCGTCTATGTTCGTGGGTTAGAATAAGATCAGTTACATGGTTTTTTGATGGTAACAAGATTGGATGTTTTTGATTAAAAGAAATAATTGCATTTTCAAGTCTACCTCCGACACGAAGTAGTCCCGAACTGTCGATAAAAGGTTTTAAATGAAGAAGTTGTTTATTAGAAACAGACTTATTTGATGAAAGATCAGAAATTTCTTTTTGAAAATATTTATTTTGAGTTTGTTTCAAAAGAAAAATTAAAGAGTATTCAAGTTCTTCAGTCGTTAAAGGAGAAATATTTCTGTTTTCTTTTTTGGTTCGTAGATTCTTAGGAAACCGCAAAATAAAAGCTATTGTTCTCTGTAATTTCAGAAAACTAGAAAATGTGAGAAAGGTATTTTCCCAGAAGTCAACATGTGTGGTATTTGCTAACAAATGAGTTTTTCTTTCTTCTGGCATGTCTGGAATACTAATTTGACTTTTTTCGTCGAGAAGATTAAGAGTGTCTTTTTGCAAAAAGTTAGGACCGTGCCACCAAAAATTATTATTTAGAATATCCTGAGCATATAATCCTCTTGAAAGCACATCAGCTATATTTTCTGATGATTTAACAT